GAAATGCAGGAGCTGGTTGGAGTATCAAAGCGAGACGAGGAACTTGCAGCTCCACCACCCATCGGAATGAGCTGGCTAAGCTACGGTTGAAGTGAGGGGCTTGAGCGCTGTAGTAGGACGTGAGCTTTGCCACTAACGGCGCCGCCGGGCGGCGGTGCTTACCTTATGGACTGGCGCTGACGAATGCTCGCCCGCCGGGAGCCGGCTTCAGTATCGACTGTGTGAAGCCTTAAAGGTGCCGGTTTGGTGCTGGGGGGCTTGGGTTCGTTAAATGGAGTACGAAGGCCGCGACTGCGGGAGAGAGCCGAGTAAGAGTTTAGGAGAGCGGAATGGGGATTCAGGAGATACTCGTGAAGATAGGCGGTTGGTGATAAACGCGCGAAGGATCCTTCGAGCACAAAATCACGTGACCTCAGCGTTTAGCAACCACTAGCAGCTGTGGTAGAGCTAATAGTCCTTTGGTTCTTACCTCACTCTGGCAGCTGCAGCTGCCTAGGCATGCTGGAGACCTTGTACCGCGAACTTTAACATAGCGTTTGCCATTTAGTGCCCGCTGAACTGCTGCTAACATCCTATTGTCACAGCCTCGAACTCCCTATTACCGGCTTCAGCGCCCCCAAGGACCTCTCCCTACGCTCTCAGCCCGACCCCTCTCGATCACCACTCCTCCGGCTCTGCCGCCGCGCTCTCGCCTCCACCAACCCAGCCGCCGCCTGTTGCACGCGCATTTCCCAGCCGCTGCTCCCCCCACCAAGGCCCTCCTCCTCCAATCCGTTAAACAAGCTGCTGGGTAGCATTAAGTGGCTGCTTGCGCTGAGAGGGCTAGTGGGTGTTGATGATGAGCTCGGATAGGTAAAGAAGATAGGGATGTTTTGTAAGTGCGTGGTAGAACCGCCCGCGGGTGTTCTCAGATGCAAAGACTCGTTAACAGCACCCCAACGCGAGAGAAGTGGGGTCCTAGTTAAGGACGCTGTTCCTAGTCGGCCTGTCTAGTAGCCTCTGCAGTCTCTTCGCGAAATCGCACTATTCTAGCTTTCTGCACCGTGTCGTTCTCAATCTTGTCGTCCTTGTCCGAAGCTATATCTTCCATTAGTTCTCTATTAGCGGCCGGGTCCATATCCACTTCGTCTGCTTTATCTAGAAGATATGACTCCCATTCATGTTCCTCCGCTTCCGAAAGTATAAACTTGCCAGTATTCGCTTGTGGCATGGAAACCAAGACTAGCACGTTAGACAAGTAGCAAAATGTTAAGGACCAACTCTACCTTGGTCGTGCACCAGCGCGTCTCTACCATGCTCCTCCTGTGACACCACTCCGCCCATAAACATCTTCCACCACCTCTTTGTTACCTGCCGGTCCCAACTGGCGGTTACTGATAGCCATTCACGCATAGTTGCTCCAGCGATAATAAGGATCTTGCAAGAGTCTATGAAGATGTTCTAACATCCAAGAATAAAGGCATGAGAGATCTCCGGACACAGGCGCTTAATAGTGGCTAAATATATCACAGGTTCTACAATCAACAAAACCCGGAGAAGTACAGATAGAACGGTCCCTTCGCGCTCACAAGTTGCCACGCCCAGAAAACCTACGCATATTGTTCTACCCACCACCAGCGCACGCTGGGAGCCGAGGTCGTTCTTTATTGAGTACTAAGAGCTTGCATAAGAAAGACATAGCATAACATCAAGCGCGTAGCTGTTCCCGTTTATATAGCCCGCGCTGCCGGGAACGGTTCAATGGGTGACTACAGACGCCGGACCAATTCGTTGCCGCGTGCCTTATTAAGATAAACACAATTCTACCGCTAACTTTTTTGCCGCACTTATATAAGCCTAGTAAGATACGACCGCTGCACCCATCTTCTAGCTCAGATTATAGGATTAGTTCGAAATCACGCGAAACTCCGTAGCAGCAAGACGCTCGAAGGGACAGAACGTGCGCATTTAACAAATATTGAACCGGCGAACCGCATAAAGGTAAGGGCAAAGAGAGAGAATAGGATACGGCCTTTAGACTTCGGCAAGGTCACGAAGAGAATAACTCAACAGCGGCAAGAAAAACTAAGCTTATGCCGTGCGTGATATGGGATTAGGAATTTTGCCTCGCCTACAGCGAACCAGACTATTCGACCTGACATGGCAGTTCTAGAAGATACAAAGCACACCTCCGAGAACCACGTGATAGAGACTTCAGCCTACGTACACATGCTAAGAGCCTAAGACCCATTCCGTAGCACCTATTCCGTAGCACCTCCGGTGTGCTTAGTGCTGAATAGACTGTTGAGGGCGGTATCAATACTAGGGATGGTCACCCCAGTAGACGCTACGCAAGTTGTTAGCTAGTAAACTGTTCTCAAACGACGCGTGACTTACAGGATTCTTGTTCATGCAAACCGCCAGCGGCAGCATTATTCCCCTATTCTTCATGCTGCCTGCAGTAGTAGCGCTGACTTGCTCCACCTACTAGAACGTTACACCACCTCCGACACGGTTTTCCTGCCGCCGTTATGCCGGCACAATACTCGCGGCCAATAAGTGAACCGTCCTTGTCCTTATGCGGCGTGCCTGCGTTGAGTTGAAAAAGCATCCCATAGGGAAGAGAAGTGCGCTTGTTGTGCCAGCCTGCATGATCGTGTTCCCGATAGGTCCGTTCGTCGCTCTTCGGCCATCCTAGGCCTTCATGATATGATGGTTGCGGGGGAAAATAGAGACTCTATATCATCGCGGCAATTCTATACAGGAGGAACACAGGCAGAAGCCCGTATCGTCGGAGGACATGGCGCAGCGACTGCTCGAGTGTACTCAAAAAAGAAGACGACATCGTAAACTTGTCAAAGTTAGGGTTATAGACAGAGGAGGAGGAGGAGGAGGAGGAGAAGGAGGAGGGTAGATATATTACGAAGATCGACTATACTGAAAGAGACCTGTATTCCTTTATCAAAAGGTGAAAGAAACCTGTATTCCTTTATTAGAAGGTGAAAGAGACCTTTTTTCCTTTATTAGAAGGTGAAAGAGACCTATATTCTTTTATTAGAACTTCAGAAGGTGAAAGAGGCTGCGATAAGCTGTATACTAGGCAGAGCTATGTGGTAGAACAATTCAAGGCCTTTACTAAGAAGCGGATATAGCGTGAAGATTCCGACTTGTGTAATAGGTCACTAGGCTTCGAACAATAAAAGAAAGTGAAAGAGCTAGATGGTAGTTATTTGCTCCAACAAGCGCGACGTACTTGTAGAATGTTCCGTATCTCTCGCTGATACCACAGGTTAAGCGTTGGATGTTAAAGGTCTACTTGGAAGACTCTATATAGATTTCTCCGCACACTACGCTGACCGCGGCTCTCCACGTATGAATACAGCTTAACCATTTACCCCCGCTCTTGTAGGTTCACGAGCGATCACCGACAAAACGAAACTGGGACGGCGATACTCAAAGCCTTCGCGTAATGAGAGCACGGAAGAAGGACAGCTAGAGGGAGAAGCTAAGTGTAAAGGAAGAGCGCAAGAGGTTTAGCGGCGCTTGTCAAGGTGCTCTATTATAATTAAAGCATTGAATTGCAGGCGTCCGACAACAGCTAACGTCCTTATAATAATTGTAATAGAGAAGTTTCTGGAGAATTTGCGAGGCAGCAGTGCGGTTCTATCTAAGCAAGCTGTAACTTATAGGAGTCGCTTACACCCCGAACAGTAGTGAGGCATGAGCTGCAGTAGGCGAGCGACATTCCTCGTCTAAGGAAGAAGACGTGGAAGTTAAGGGCGGGAATAGGGATCCAGAGGATGAAGAGCTGCGGGAAGAAGGAACCCCGAAGCATGAGTGGCTCAAGGTGGGTAAGGGTAAGGGAAAGGCTCGAGTCGACTTCGGCGATAAAGGTGCAGTGGAGCTCGATCTGGACGAAGACGGCAACGTAATCAAGGACCGTCCCAACTACTACGAACGAGCCGGACCAAAAGAAGAAGTTAAAGGATATACGCTACGGGCAATCAAGCTGATCGCGAGAGACACGTAAGGGAAGGACAGGGAGCACTTCACGAAAGGGGAATTTAAGGATCGATACATAGATTCTATTCAAGTGCAGTTATAGTAAGCCGTACACCATCTCCACGCATCACTTCATCGTACAAGGAAACATCGCAGACTCCTTAGAGATTCGTCAACTGCTGCCAGAGACAAGGGAGGCTTTGGACTTGTTAGAGGAAGTGTTCAACTACCTTATTAAGAAGAAGTCAACTCCAGTTTACGCACAGAAAAACAACACTGCCTTTGCGGCGACAGGGCTCTACAATGAACGTGCCCCACGGGTTACCAAGCAACAAAAGACTTGCATGGGAATATTTGCAAAGGGCTCCAATTAGTAGGATAGCGAGAAGGCAGCGAAGCAGGTGGTCGCCAAGGGAGGATTGAACCAGCTTTAGCAATACGAATAATAGTGCCCGCTTGAGCAGCTGCTTGTGTCTCTTTTACTCTCTCACAGGCTGGCTTCAGCTCGCGAGCGTGCATAGCACGTGCGCGGCCCTATCTCGGCATCCCGCCTGTCGCATTCTCGTTCCGTGTGCTTATATTCCCCTCAAAAGTGCCGAGATAGCTTGCTTACTCACGATAGATATCTTGATCAACGCTCTCGGTAAGTACCTCCTGTTATCAATCCATGTTGCATTCCTCAGCTCTAACCAATCTAGTATATCCCCGTCACCGAATACTCCCGCTCCACATCTCATGCTACACTATGCATCACTTTCATTGGAAGGCCTCCCATAAGTCTTGTCGCAAGCAATGCTCATCGTCAACAAACCACGCTCGCCGAGTTCGTCCGGCACCAGAATTTAGGCCAGCATCTGCATCGAGAGCAGGGACAACGACCCAATCTACAGCAGGTTCTACACATTCGTCAGGAGCCCGATCGTGATGTCGATCCCGGCCACGTGGTCCCCGTCGACTTCGACGACAGGGTCTTGAACACTATCTTGCTGCCGCTGAGGGATGACCAGAAACTCGACTTTATGTGGAGGATAGGGAAGGCGCTCACGGACCCGGTTAAGTCGCCGCCCGTTATGGTGTTCTACGGCGCGACCGGACACGAGGGCAAGAGCATGCTCGCCACCAACATCACGAGGATACTCGGCGACGCGGTGAGGTGGCTCAGCAAGGACTTGTTCGGGTTCAAGGGCGCGCGGCCGGAGGCGGACATGGCCCTATGCGAGAAGCGGATCCTAGTGTGCGACGAGTGTAAGCCCAAGGACCGCTTCTCGTACAACAACATTAAGAGGTGGACGTCCGAGGCCCTAATCGCAATGAAGGAATTGGTCGGCTACCTCTGCCAGAGCGCGATTATCGTAACGAACGAGATCCCTCTCTACGAGATCACGTACCCGACCGTCTTCTCAGTAGTAACGTGGTCTAGTCTGTGTTACTGCACGGCAGCGACACACCTGCCAACGATGATTCACCAGCATCCTCCAAGGTGCAGCTTTTCTTCTAAGAGAATACATCCACTCACTCCGCGCTTGTCCATGACTCTGCTGTCCCCTGCAACCTTTCTTTGAAACGCACACTTCGAGCTGCTTCGCCGCCAGAAGAGCAGGCCATCCTATAAGTATGAATGCCGTCGCCCACTCCTGAATCCCGACGCATACGGCTAACAGCCTCTCAGTTACAGCTTTACCTATCCATCGCTCCATTCTCGACCGTTCTAACCCTACGCCTTCCAAGCATTGCGACGGCACGCTTCCGCACGCTCGACCACAATCAGCACAACACTGGGCGACCGCCAACCGAACCGAGGCCCTGCAAGACCAGCGTTCGCACCAGTGGCCTCGGCAGAACAGGATGGCGCGGATCGAGGCTGAGTTACAAAAGTGATAACCGGTCTCGGCAGGATTTTTGGTGCAGCGACCGCATATTACTTTCGCAACCAAGCCTCGGATGGTTGGCCCGACCTAGCAAATGGAAGATTAGTTATAGTAAGGCGCTCGCCAGTCGTATATTCCAATATGCCTGCCGTCGACACTAAAAAGCGGAAGGCCGCGGACCAAGAAGCGATCTGGCGTAGTGCCCGGGACCCTATTAGCCACGAGGTAGAGAACGCGGGCGGCCAGAAATTGTAGTACTGCGGCCAGCGCGATACGTACAACACCACAAACTTAACGGCCACGAAAGGGCATATTACGTCCAAGCACAGCGGTAAGAGTGGGATGGGGAACACCACAAAGAAGGCTAGCGCCAAGGTTCTGCTGCAAATTAGACTAGGCTGTGGTGCTGCTAGGCGATTCTGGGAGTCAAGGTGAAGTGGTGGCATTTGGCACCGCTGTCGGCGTTGTGAGGTTGTGTAGTGTTTACCAAGGTCTTTGAATGTACGTGTTGACTGCCTACTCGCAACGTAAGTGTTTCGGACGTCTGATCTTTCGGACGTCTAACCTTTCGGACGTCTGACCCTATACTGTCTGCGACAGATTCGGCGCCGTTCCTTTGTCCTTGTGTAGAGTCCGAGTTCTTAGACTAACGGTGGTAGATATAGAATCTTTGTTGCCTCTTTGTCTACAGTCTCAAGGCAGCTCTGAAGTCTCCAACAAGCCGCCATTGTTGTCTCAAAGACTCCGAGCTCGGTCCACATATACCGCGCAATGCTACGGCTATAGAACTAAGCTACATCACCACCAAGATCTACATCCCTCCATCACCACATCACGCAGCGACCGCCCGCTGCTTATTCGGCCCTAGGACGTGCCGACTTTCATCGCTCCTCTCTCTACGAATTAGCCTGTAGCTATGGATTTCACCAACCTGGCACCGGACGAGGGATCCTGGCAAAGGGTGTGTAACCAGGATCAGACTGAGCACCCAGCGGAAGAGGCAACTCCTAGTAGAGACACTCTCAAAATTGATCCGGTGGAGCTAGAGCGGATCCGACGCATATACCGAGCACCATCCGACCACATCTGCCCGTTGGACACTTCCAGAAATAGAGTCAGTTTGCCAGCTCCTTCCAGCAACGCAGATAGCACGGCCTTACCTCCAGAGGCCGAGCGAGCGAGGATCCACGCGGAGTTCGAGACCTGGCGTGTGGAGAATGGCTGGTCTTCCTGTCTCGCGCCGCCCGGCCCCTTACAGTCCGCCGCGTTCGCATTTCTCGTTCCCATCTCCCCGGATGCGTTGCAGGCGCTTAAGATACTTGACAACACGCTGCTTGAAAATGCAAATGCGTGTACTAGCCTCACGCTAGGCGGGCCATCGCCGTCTTGCGTGATGAAGCTGGACTTCGCCTTGCTATCCGGCCGCGACTACCTTTCGTTTGGCTCTTCTCGCTCCAACGAGCTGACCTTTCCGGAGGCGGACGATATCGGTCACCAGCAGTTCCTCTTGCGCTTCGAGATAGAGGACGGTGTTTTGCTTCTTACAGACACCTCCCCTCACGGCACGCTAGTAAGGAACTGCTCCACAGGAACCTCGATGCTGCTCCACAACGACACCTATCAGCTTTTATCATCAACGCATATCCTATTTGGGCTAGGGCAGCGCTACCACTTTCGGATCATCCTGACTGAAAACGTAGATTTCCAAGAAGAGTTCCAGGAGCTCCTCCAAACCTACGCTACGTCTATTGGCAGGGCAGGGCCTGCGATCCAGAAGCCGCCGGCGGTAACGGACCAAGATCGCGTTCGGAAGCGGCGCCGCACGACCGCTACTTGCGGTGCCGGCTGCTTAGGGGGCTCGCATGAGGGCGAAACGCGCCTGGCAAAGCGACTTAGGACGGTGGCTGACGTTGCGGACATGAGGGAAGCCTCCTTTGTGGGGGACATGGTGGGGCAGACGCCCGTGGGGTATCAGCAGAGCCCCTGGTTGTCTTGGATCCGCAGGGCATTTTCGACGGTCAAACGCAGCGTTTTGTAGCTGCCTGGTGGCGGGTCTTGTTTTTTCTTATTGTGCGCGTGCAGTCTTTCTGTTCCTAGTCTTTAATACAATTACATAGTTATGAGAAGCGTTAATTGCATTCCCGCTAGCGTACAAGTGCTACCAACCAAGATACTACCGTGGGGCCTCATCTGGCGCCACATCACACAACAGTCGATTATCTGAATTCAGAATTAATATGATATCACTTACACACAATTTTTGACAATATAGAAGATGCGAAACTCTTATTCGCTTTATTCCCACGTGTTTTCGATTTGTTGTGACTACGGTGAAAATGGTGATTTCCAGTAACCGTCTACCTCCACACGCTGCGCAGGGATCTGCAAAAGGGTTTCATATTAGTTTTTCTATAATAAGACACCACAGAACTTGAGCGCCATACACAGCCGTATAGCGCGTAGGTGTCAGCCAGTCTAAAGCAGGTGCTGGTGGTTATTTAAGCGCTCAAACATATTGAAGCCCATGATTCAACCCCTAATTGAACAGAGTCGCTCGCCCGAGCTTTTGAGTAATGTACAGTACTCTATGGAAAGCATTGTACCACTCCGTTGCTGTCGGCCTCATATTAACTAAAGTAGAGAGCACGTTACCGGTCCACTCCTACGTCTCTACACAATCTGTTGCTACTAGTACAACGCTTAATATCACCAGCTGCTCCCTCCACTTGCCCTATCTACTTTGCCGTGCGAACTGCTCCCCAAAAGATATGAGAGCACCACTTTCCACGCCAATAAAAGACCAGTCAAACTTGTACGTGCCCGAGGATTAGGAACCGCTAGCTCCCAACTCTACAGATGCTTCTCCGCTCCAACAGCAGGTCCTCGAAATACAAGCCGCGGTTGGACGAGAACGGGTAGAAAGGAAAAGCGCCGCTGAGTCGGCACAATCTTTACAGGAGAAGGTTGAGGGGGCCCAGAGAGAACACGAGAGGGCCTTGAAGAGTTATAATGCAAAGGAGAATCCTTGTCCACCCTCATCCCTTCGCCAGTGGCCCCATAGGACAATCAAACTTGTACATTGATATACATGCGCTGAGTACATATACTTCTTCCTCAACAATACGATTCCGTCGCCACCCACCCAGCCACACAACCTCACCCTTGCAGCCTATAACAATGCCGTTGTTGCAACCCTACGTGAGGCTCTAGCCTACGCTGGCCCCAGCGCCTTGAACGGCTTGATTAGATGATCACGGATCGCCTGACCTAGTTCGTTGGCGCGCGACTCGGCTGCTATATCCGCGAGTTTGAGCTCACGAAGTTTCAAGACCGCATCGTCAAAGTAGCGGCCACTACCAGTAAGTCTATTAGCCACGCTTTAGATAGTGTTAGCAGAAGAGGCCAGCAAGAGGATAGAGTAGGGCGCGGACTTACAAGTTTCTCGAAAGAACATGCCCGAGGAAAAACACGAATCCGGAACCAAACTCAACAGAGAGGTTGTGTAGCCTCTTTCCCAAGACGGACCACTTGTTAAGGTTCTTCACGAGGTCGGCGGCACAGATTGGGGCATTATTAAGCACCCGACCAAACCACGCGACAATATCCTCCCACATTAGGTCTCCAACGCGTCCAGAGCCGTTAGGGTTGTATTGCTTTACAAGGTCATAATAAAACAGCATGGAGTAGCACCAAAGCTGGTTGTTTGTGTCAAGTTGGGCGTTCAGGTTAAGGGTAAGCTTGTACCGCTCTAGAAAGGCGTCGGCATCAGAACCGGCCTCAGTATCTTTAACTGTGGCCCGTATTTGACCACCAGCCCGGGCAAGAAATACTGGGGCGTCCGGCCCGTGGCTTTGCAGGAAGCGATTGACGACGGGATCAAGCGAGAGCGTGTCCAGCCTTATGATCGGGTTCATCGGATTGCGTGCTGGTGGTGCGGGGCGGGCCGTTGCTGGCGCCCGGCGGGCTCGCTTCCGTGCGCCATCCGATGGGGCCTGGGTTTGCCGTCGTTTCCGGGTGCCGCTGCCAACCTGGCTCTCGGGGCCGAGCTCGTCGGGGCCGTGCTCATCGGCGCAAAAGTGGCCGGCGATCGACCGCAGGGCTGCTTTTTGTTTTGAGCTTATAGCGTCCTTTGGAGCTTTTAGAAGCTTGTCCACACTCTACGACAGCCGTTAGCCCTAGAATAGAACAGTATGCTTACGTCCATTTACCCTTTCGCTGTCTAGCAGCATGCTAAATTCATCGAGTTCCCACGATTCCCACGGCTGTTCATCTCTCTCATCAGCAACAGCCTCGCTCGTCCCGGAAGAGGGGCTATCCGGTATATCTATTATCGACATATCTGCCTAGACAGTTCCAAGCAAGAAGAAGGGTAAGAAGGGCAAGAAGGGAATGGACACACCCACGCTTGTAGAGGATGATAGCTGGAGCGGAGGCCTCTTAAGTAACGCCGGCTTCTCTACGAATACCCTCTTTATACAACAGCATTCGCGACACCACCATCAAGACACCCACGTCTAAACCGCCCGTTGTGATGCGTCTTCCACAAGACGTATTAAGACATCTATATCTGGATCGCCCGTTGTGATGCGTCTTTCACGAGATGCGTGTGCATCAGGGGCTGTTCCGCGCCCTTGTCTCATCTACACAAACAATACAGAGTCTAAGATCTCCAGCCAGCCCCCTCTCTTCCAAATGTTAGACGTCTTCATTTCCGGTTCTACTACTCATCTTCTTCGCCTTTGCTATCACCGCAGCACCGCTCGAGCCTTCTTCCGACCCTTACTGCCACGAAAGCGCCGAACGAAGCACCATATCCGACAATCCATGGCGAACCAGCGACCGCCGCAAGATTATTCTCAGCTCAATGCCGCACAACTCGGTGAACTGTGCCAAGAGCGCGGCCTAGCCCACCGGAGGAAGAGAGATGATCAAATCCGGCTGCTAAAAGAACACGATTCATTTCTCGTTAGTGTTAATACTAGAGAGCATGCACCGGCGGCTGTAAGTACGACCTTTCCCGCTCGTGATAGGTAGGACGCTAACACCTTTAAGGGCCTCCGTTATCGAGCCTGGCAGGCTATTAACGCTATCAGCTGGCTGGCATGGCCGCTTTGGGCTTGGTTGACCTTTACCGCAAGTGCTGTCGCTGTTCTCCTCTTAATTGGATCCGTGTGGTGGCTTTATATACGGTCCAATGCCGTATCCTACAGCGCTACGGTTAGGTTCGCGGAGTACCGGACCTTCGTCCTGGAGTACTTGCCTTTCGGATGCGTTGCGCTTGCCATCATTGTCAGGGTGTGGTGTTGGGCTTTTCCTAGGTAGGCCTCACACATAGTCCAATTCAGCTAGAGCACCCGATCATGCCTCGTCTCTACAAGGCCTAACTTGTTAGTCTCAAAGGGGCTGAGCTTGCTGTGCTGTGCTTGGATCGTGTATTGAGGGGTATTAGCGGACCTATTCCAAGCAAGGGCTCGTCCAGGTCCGAGGCGTGGATCTGTAATCTTACATCCGGCCAAATAGGCTGTAGCTCGTGTACCTAGACCCTCCGCCGATTAGTATTCTCAATCGCCTAACTAAGATCGTGTAAACAATGTTCGTGTTAGAGTTATCCAATAATTATTTATTAGTTACTATAATGCTTTAAATAAGCCGCTAGGCTATTTAAGGCTATAGAGTTCTAGTTATAAGACTCTTAATATAGTAGAGCTCTATCTAAGAGTAAAGATATTAAATTAGAATATAGTACTTAGTTAATAGAGGGTTATACGCGTAATAATTAGTTAGAAGAGCTAGAAAGATTCTCTAAGATTAAATACTACTCTCTTATATAATATTAGTAACTAGTAAATATTTTAATTAAAGCTTATTTACTTCTTTACTTACTAATTCTCAATCTAATAAGAATATCTAGCCTCTAAGATAGTTAGTAGATATAATATATAGATCTAGACTTATAAGAAATCTAACTATTAACTTTATAAGAAGCTAAGGTTACTTTATAAAACTTACTACTATTTCTATTAATCTCTTAGCACTAACTAAGCTCTAATAAGCTTTAGCTTTTAGCTTAGATATATAAGCTAGTAATCTATAGCTAGACGCTACTAATATTAAGTCACTTAAAATAAAATTTAGCTAAAGATATCTAGTTAGCTACTTCTTTTCTCTTATAATCTTAGACTATAAGCTAAGCATCTAGTAGTAGTAGTAGTATAATAATATTAATAAGGATTTTTAATTACAAAAGTAGGACTAGCTCTATAAGAATTACTATTTATAAGCTTTTAGAGTCAATATTAGTTATATTAGTAAGTCTTTTAGTTACTTAGAAAGATAGATTATATTCTAAGTACTTAAAGTACTTAGAAGGCTCTTAAAGTAATTAGAAGGCTCTTAGAGCTAGACTATAGTTATTATAATCGCTTAGTAAAAGCTTATAGAGATATTATACTAAGCTATATAAAATAACTAGCCGTTATATAATATTTATTAATCTATTTAATTATTTAAAAATAGAGTATTATAGAATTAATTAAGCTAGTATATTAGCTATTTATTACTAGTTTATATCTAACTATTAACTAGTTACTATTCTAATAGTCGCTTATATTATATATCTATTATAGAATACTACTACTAAAGCTTATAAAACTATATTAGAAAATCTTAGATTTATTCTAAATTATTAGTAAGCAAGAAAAAATATAAATTATAAGAAGTCTTAGAGTATATTTTCTTATTTAACTTTTATTCTTCTATAAAAATTAGTAATATACCTCTATTTTTAAAAATTAAGTAAATAGTACTTATTTTTATTTAAAAGTTACTCTCTAAACTAGTTCTATTATATTCTGTCTATTCTACTAGTTAAACAAACTTAGAGTTTTTTTTATAATTTTATTAATACTTAGTAAGTAAAACTTAGTATAACTTAGTACTCTAAGGGCTTAGTAAGAACTTAGAGGAGCTTATAAGGCTCTTATAAGAGATAAGAGTCGCTTAGAGCCTTAGAGCCCTTAGAGAGCTCTTAGAGTACTCTAAGAGACTCTAAGAGAAAAAAAGATATTCTAATATATTACTACCACTTATAGTTCTATAAATACTACTAAAAAAGCCGGATATTAACCTCTACTAGAAACTATACACTAATAACTAGATATCTTTAATATAGTAGCTTTATTTATTATATAGATAAAATATATAAGTTAGGAATATTTAAGATTTATCTAACTAGCTTTAATATAAATAAATTTAGTTATAGCTAGGCTAATAGAAAGCTGTTCTCTATTGCTAAGAAAGATATATACTATTATCGCTATAAATTAAGTAAAAGACTTTAGCTAAGAATAAGAATAAAGATAATACTAAGTAGTTTATTAATAGAGATATAATTTAAGATCTTAGCAGCTAGTAGTATATATAGCTAGGTTATTACTATAGCTAAGTCTATATCTAGAGTAGCTAAACTAGAAGCACTATAGTATTTTAAAAAACTAGTATAGAGTATATTCTTATTATATACCTCTATACTTAATTTAGATAGTCTCGTAATTTTAGCCTATAGAAGTTTAAAAAGAAGTAGCTATATAAATTCCTTGGTTTTATAGTATTATATATATAGTAGTATAGTATAGTAGTTAAATAATAAAATAATCTAAGCTCTAGAATTAAAGATAATAGATAACTATTCTAATAGTTATATTATTTAGTTTCTAATAATCTATATATAGTTCTAGAGTATTATTCTTTCTAAGTAAAAATAGAATAGAATATTCTATAGGCGACTAGAATTCTTATATAAATCTTTTCTTTAAATTATTATTTAGATACATCTATAGCGTCTCTAGCTTTTTTAGTAATAGTAAGTAAATCGCCGATTTCTCTAGTATCTTACTTTCTTTAATAGATATTATATAATTCTATAGCTAGTGTACTAGTAGCGCTATATTTAAAGCTTTAGCTATAAATAGCTATATATAGTCTCTATACTTGATAGATATAGATAATAGGACTATAGTAGATATAAGTTATTGCTTACTCTATTAAATCTTAAGTTACTTAGAATTTCGCTAGATCTTTTACTTAAGTTCTTTAGTAGAGATTATATATATTCTAATACTATCTTTTAGTATTTCTTAGCTTATCTAGGCTAATTTCCCTATAGAAACATTTAATATCTTATATATCTAGGTAATCTTTAGGCTTCTATCTTTAAGCTGTAGTAATTCTAGTATAGTATTATATATATCTATTACTATAATATTAAACTATATATCCTAGATATACGATTTAATCTTTAACCTAATTCTATTTATCTCTTAGTCTACTAATTACTAATTATAGCCTAAAAGTTAAGTATTTATTTGCTATAAATTAATAGATATTACACTTTTTTTATAGTTCTATTTATATATAGTAGATAAACTCTAGTACTATAAATTTCACTATAGCTTCTAAATCTATTAGTATCTTAGTATATTTCTAGCTAACTCAGACTATTGCTTTAAGAGTTTTAGTGTATTATATTACTATATAAGTATACTTTTAATAGCTTAACTATATTATCAAAATAGCTTTATATCTATTTAAAAGTCTTTTAGTAGATACTTCTATTAATCTTTAAGTTAGAAGATCTTTTAGTTTTTTAAACTAAAGCTTATAATACTCTTATTTTTAGCTTAAATCTTTATTTTATTATACTTAAATTTACTAGAGTTAACTTAGTATTCTAGTTAGAGTATACTATCTAGTATCTATCTAAGCTATCTAATATATTTAGTTACTATAGCTAGTCTCCTTAAAACTAAGTTATAGATTTCTTTATATAGTTTACTAAGCTTATAGTAGACTCTTACTATATTTTATATATAGTAAATTATATCTTAGCTCTCTAGAGATTCTCCTTAAGCTCTAGTTAATTTATATTAAGGTTTAAGAGTTTATATATATCTAAGTATATCTAATTCTAAATCTTAAGTAGGTATTTACTAGTAATAGAGTTCTGTTACAACCTCATAGGATAGGACCGGCACCGCCGGTATAAGGCCGAATAATAGCTAGCATAAGCTAGCCACTACGTGACTGCTAGCCACTACTAGTAGAAAGAGCCACGTGATTAGAGATAGATAGTAGAGCTAGTAGAGAATAGTAGTACTAGCACTACTAGCTATAGCTAGCTATAAAAGGCACTAAATAGTATATAGAAGACACTATTCTCGTTTATTAGAACGATGTACTTAACTTAAATAAGAATCTAGTATTCTTTATAACTTAATCTAATCTTACTATATAATATTAATTCTTACCTTATTAACTATATCTTGGCACTATTCCCTAT